GAGGCAGGGGTTAAGGAGGGTGGTAGGTGTCAATCTTAAAGGGGAGGTTTCATTAATGAAAAATCAGAATATTAACCTCATGATGACAAATAGGGGTATTAGAAGAAAACACAAGTTTTTAACTTAAATTTAAAATTAAAGAAGAAATTAAAGAATGAACCAAAAAATAAATCTAAAAGAATTTATAGTTTGGGCAGCAACCTTTCTTTTAAACATCTTGCGTTAAATATGGCAGACAAGGAAAATTTTATTCATTTTTTCTTTAGTTTTTTTCAGCTTTCTTGCATTTAATATATATATATATACTTAATACTTCTCGTTTTCACTCTTACGTGGTCATGTGTGACGTCATGAGCTGCGATGCAATTTTTGTTTCCACATCTTGTATACACGAGTTAGTCGTTGCTTTGAAATTTTTTATGCAAAAAAAACAGACTATCATTATTGTTTTGTCCATGTATTGGTTGATATATTAAAATTTAATTGTCATCTTTGATAATGGCTTATGTAAGCTGAAAGCTTAGATAGGATTTAAACATGTATCAATATGGTGATTTCCTTTCATATTTCAATGATAATATTATTAAGCTTATCAGACAATATGAAAGGAACTTACTTAAAATAAAAAAACACGACTTGTCTATATTATTTAATGAAACATGCATCAATGAAAAATTGCTTCCTAGATATACAATATATATATATATATATATATATATATATATATATATATATATATATATATATATAAATTATTATATTTTTTATTATAAGAGATTATAATAAAACATTTTAAAATAAACACAAAAGAATTCATGTTTTATTACTATGATTGTATTTCTTGAGATGATTGTAAATAACAGGTGATTAAATTATTTTTTAAGGAAATTTAAAAACAAAGTTTTGGGTAAAGAGGTAACACTGTTTTTAAATTTCCTTAAAAATCATCTAATCACTAGTTACTTATCATCGCCTGAAGAAGTACAATCATAGTATTGAAACATGAAAGCTTTTGCGTAGCAATTTATGCATGTTTTTATTATAATCTCTTATGATAAAAATATAATAATAATATATTGCTCTACTTTGTACTGAGCACTTTTTAAAAGTAAATGCTATGAACAGTGAATTTTTACTCCATCTGTTCTTTCTCTCATTTGGATATACACATACACACACACACACATATATATATATATATATATATATATATATATAATGACAGTTTAATCAATTTCAAGCACAACCACTTTCTTAAATTAACTGTTGCTCTTTCATGAGCTCTCAAATGACTTCCTAGACCTGCATTTGTTTTGGCGACTAATATGCAAATATGACATTCAGGTTTGGTGCTATCTATCGATTGACTGTTTTTTTCAATGGAAATGCAGATAACTCTTCAAGCCAGCATATAATATGGCATTAAATGTGCATATAGAGTATGTTCATTTTAACTGCTGATTAATTTTAAGAAATCTCAGTTGTCCATTCTGGCTCTGATAATTCATATGGTTAACGAGACCTACCCTTGAGAGAAGAACCTGACTACATATTGGACAGATGTGCCTTGAAACAAATATATGTATATATGCATGTGCCACATAAGGAGTCACATAGACAATTTGCCAACAGGTTATGCTCAATTCATTAAAACCTGCTTACCTGTGATGTATGTGGCAAAGTCTGCAAGAGCTGCTCTAGTCTCATGAGATTTTTGAAAAACTATAACAATCCTCCACTTGACAGGCCGAACAATCAGGTCAAAATCACTGATTTAATTTTTTGTCTTTGCAGCAAACTCTGTAACTCTCTTGACAGCTTCAAACGTCACTGCCAATCTCATGTTCATAAGAAAATTCAGTTATAAGTCAGCCTGTTACCAATGGTCATGCTCATCTTCTAAAGAATAGAGACATCTATTTAATAATATGTATTTCCCACTTTTCTTTGAATAACAGTAATTATGGCATATGACTTAGTCTGACTTATACTGGAATCATTGTGTAGATATACCTGCTATCTATCTACAGATACTAGACAAAGTTCAAAGAAGAATTTGCAATGTTATCATTCCTGATCTGGCATCTCGGCTTCTGTCACTCTCCCACTGCTATAACATTAGGGCAGTATTTTTTAGAAATTCAACATTGCACTCAGTGTAAAAGCTAGGGTTTGATGTGGTAAATAGTAACACTGAAAATTAGATTCATAGCTCTCAACAATTTTTGAGCATTTTGCTTTAAAGAACTTCTGAAAAATATACAGAAATACCTTATATCCACAGGTTTTTGCTTACAAACTGACTTTAACATTTTACTATCTCAAGGATGAATCCAAACAGAATTGATATCTTTTATATTAGATACATTAAATGTAAAATATATTCAAACCAGGATTTCAATTATGAATCACCACAAGCAAAAATATACTACTTTTTTTTACTGTATTTGATAAGTAAAAACTGTAAAATATTGTAAAATATTACAAAAAAAGGCTACTCAATGAATAAGATTTGTTAAATCAAAATTAATAAAAACAAAAAATAGATAAAAGTGTATATAACATCATAAAACTGTTGGGCATAAGTTATAAGACAAAATGTTTTAAATTTGCATTGTTTATTGAAAATCACACTAAAACTGTTGCACTGTATGGCATATTACATCATAATATAAGTAAATTGTTCAGCATAATTTCCCTTTGAAGTAAATCACATTTTCAACTGACTTGAAATGGAACAACTACATTGAATCAATAGCTGCATCTACTGCAAGGAAAGTTGGTTCATTGTCATGCCAGAAGGTTTTTCTCGTCAGAGTCCACCTTACACATTTATAAATCTGCCATTTGCCCATGCATTGAATACTGTTAACTGATCTGGTCTGATTCCCCTGCTGATCATCTTGAGGTTCTTGACAAAATCCAAAGAAGGATCTGCAATGTAATTGTTCTTGACTTGGCATCTCGACTTCAGTCACTTTCTCACAGACATGATGTGGCATTCCTCTGTCTTTTCTACAAATATTTTCATGGAAACTGCTCTGATGAGCTTTTTTCCCTGGTGCTTCAACTATATGAATTTAAGTGTGCTACTAGATTGGCATCTAGGTCTCACTCTTTTACTGTTGAAATAGTTAAACCACTTCTACTCCAATAGTTTCTTTTCTTGCACTTCCCAACAGTGTAACTCCCTTCCGCTTAGTTACTTCCCTGATAACTTAAATGCATTATCATCATCTTCTATTATCTTGAATGCCCTTCAGTTTTTTTTTCCTTTCCTCAATCCCCACTATACACAGTCTTTTCTCTCACTTTCACTCTCTGTAACCCTCTGCATCCTAGTGGCACTCTTGCCTTGCTTGAGGTGAAATGATTAAAGAAATGAAAAGAAAAATGTAGGTCTTATTTGATGACACAATGATTTAGTAATAATGTGCTTGTGCCTTGCATCTTGTCCATATAAAATTTGTAAAGCTTCAGTAAATTATAAATTTTATAAGGCTGTGCTATAAGTTTTTCACTGATGTGTTCAATGAAATTCTAATGCTATGATTTTGATTCTAAATGTTATCTTTAAACTCATTTTCTCAAAAAATGGTAACGATTTGGGAAAAATATTTTACATCTTTATTTATCATGTCAAATTCCAACTTTCAAATTGAGTACAATGCCACAGTTCCAAAACTGACCTGCCCTACCATATCATATCTTCCCTGTGCTTTTTCTATAAATATTTTCATGGTAATTGCTGTGATGAGCTTTCCTCTTTGGTACCTAGACTTTACAAATTTAAGTGCAGTACTAGAGTGGCAGCTAGGTCTCATCATTTTAGTGTTGAAATTGCAAGATGTAACTGTAAGTTTTTTTGTTAACACTTTCTTCCCGCTTGTGAAACTCTCTTCTGGATTCTTGTTTTCCTGTCAACTTTGATTTTTAATCATTTATTTCAATGTCAGTCTGTGTTCTTGAATCCTCTTCTTTTAGGTGTTTCTCCTCAATAACATTTTCTCAGTTTCTTTGAAACACAATATCCCCTCGTATCTTAGGGGCTTTATCGCCTTTAAATGATTAAAAAAAAAAATATCTATGGAGGCATGTGATGCAGAAAATTTAGTGAGAATTGTAATATGTTTTATATATGGTCACTGGGGTTCCAAATGAGTGTGCTTTCAACAGGGACCATTGTGAACTCCATCAGATCACCCTACACACCCTTACACAGTTGCTACCAATGTATACAACATGTTATGACAAGCTGACTCCTTATAATCATACAGTCTTCTCTACACAAAAATCTCAACTATCTTATCATAAGTACTATTTAAATTATTCAGACTATTGTCCTTATCTTTGTTGCTATATTTATCCCAACGTTTCGGCTGTTGTACATTCCAGCCTTCTTAAGGTGGTTGGAATATCGAACTGAACCCTTTATTTGTTCTAGTTTTGAAATTTAAAACAACTTGAATAAAATATTAAAAATAGCAACATAAAATAATGAAGCTAGTGTTTGTGGTCTTTGAAAAAACATGTCTTGACAAAACATGTTATTAGGTCAGTTACTTGCTGTTTGCCTCTTTTCCTTCAGAATGAGGAGTATCATGACTCTCCACAACTTCCTATCCTTCAGAGCTCTAAGTAATGTTTATCTTTATTATCCTTCTCGTTCCCTTATCCTTCAGCCATTTACAAAATCTTATCCACTGTCTTGCCTTCAATATGTTTTGTGAGTGTCGAATTCTCCATGTCCTCTTTCACCTTTCCAATTTTACCAGGACCAAACATCCATGATATGGTTCAAAAGCAAGAGAAAATTACTAAAAATTTTAAAAATAATCCTTGTCTGCGATCTTTAATAGAATGTGCTGAAATAGATTTATAAATAGATGGTTTAAACATTTAAATGAATGATAAAGAGGTCTCTACATATGTTGTATTCATACATATATTTATATATACATATGTTGTATTAATATATACTTATTCATTTGTCATTGTAGACAACTTTCAGGTGCTACAATTAAGATTTCCAATGCAGAAGAAGGTTCTTCTGATAGGAAAGTCACTATAACTGGTACTCCAGACACAATTGGATTGGCTCAATATCTCATTAACACCAG